ATATTCCAATAACGCGTTCCGGGCAACGACGATAAACCAATTATCGAGATTACGAATTTCTTGGTGCAGGAAAGGCGTACAAGTTTCTCTTTGCAAAGTGTATCGTCGTATATAGCTATGTAAATACGTAGAGATTAGATCGAGCAGCTGAAAAATCGAATTGTTTGTTCGAGGATGAAAAACATTTATATATCGTTTCGATGGACAAAGATGAAAAGTTGACAGTTGTTTGAAGAGAGCGTACATTTTTACACGGTGCTCGGATGGAAAATAATTGGTCGATTGGAAAATCGAGGCTATAATTGTTTTTTTTTTTTTTTTCTACCGAATTCGTTCTTAATCTTCGTGCAACAATACATACGTATGCACGATCGAAATATATCTTAGATCGCTACGATCGAATATCGATGAATTGAGTTTTTTATCGATTTTTCTTCTCGATCGAGGAGTTAAGACGGACGTCTTTAAATTTTGCACGCGCGTAATACGCGTACCGCGATCGATAAATTCGAGTACACGAATTACGGTTGGTAGAAGATGGAGAAGTAACGAGGTATAGTGTCTGGAAGGATTTATGCACGCGCGTATATATAACGTTTCGCGTGAAACAAAATTTTGATACGTCAGAGATCAACGTCGACCGAGGATAAACGTATTTCCAAGTATTCGCGTAAATTGTACTTTTTGCGATACGCGACCTCGCGTTGTTTCGTTTGAAATTCGTCGATCGATTTCGCGTCAAATGAGTTTTCGCGCGAAGAAAACGATATTCGAAAATTGAAAGGGAACGTAAACGTGGCGATTATTGGAAGGAGCGAGGATTTATTAGGGGAAGGTTGAGGGAAAGCGGTGGACGCGTCTGTGCTAACAAATTAAACGCGAAAATTACCATTGGTTGGTGATTCATCGGTAAGAAGAGAAGCTACTTCCGGGTATCCGTCGCGTGTGACTCGCGTTCCGATAAGATTCTAATTAAGGAGACTTATCGGAGGTCGTCTGCCTCTACCTCCATTTCCTATCCCGCCCCAACCCTTGGAGCGTGCCTCGCTTCCGGCGGGAATCGTGACTTTTTCCAACCAACGATCGGCCGTGCCAGATGCATCCATCTTTTAACGGGTTGCTCGACATTCGCGCCCTTCTCTCCGTCTGTCTCTCGGATAAAATCCGTTTCGCGCAGCAAATTTATAGATTCCCATCTTCGAATACCTTTGAATCTCGAAATCGCTTTCTTCTCTCTCTCTCTCTCTCTCTCTCTCTCTCTCA